AGACATAAAATACTCGAAAAGCAAGGATCATAATCTTTAACAGATAAATCATTAACAGTAGCAAATCCGGCCTGAAAAATATTAAATTACTTTTCATTCAGATATTATTCAAACAATTTTTAGGTCTTTGAGTAGTCTTTTCAGGAGCTAGAGCTTTAAAGTAAATACTAGGAATACAATCAAGATTTGAGAGCAACTGTAGACAATATAAAATAAAGTTATGCGAGTAGCCTTAGATTTATCTGTGGATATACGTCCGCGGAATATATTCATAACATCAGTAACACATCCAGGATAAAGCAATAGACAATGACGTTTCTACATCAAACTATTGCAAAAGCTCAACCAAATAACGATAAAACCTTGGAAATTTATCTCAAAGATATACTAAACGAACTATAAAAATCAACTATTAAATCATATAATTTCCATTACCTTTTGCCTACATACTTATCTCCGGACAAAAGATACCAATCATGGGTCTCTCTGTATTATTTCCAGTCTTCCTTACATTTTCTTGGTTTATATTTTTCTTTCCATCTGTAACATCTCTATTTAAAAACTAAAAAGACTTTGAGTAAGAATTTCTGCAGATCAACCGTAACGTAGATGTTTGTAGAACATTTAGGATTCGACAGAGTTACACATTACAATAAAAGCACAGGACTTCGATGTATATAAAAAGGCTTCAGTAGAATTTCTGTAAGCTTGAAATATCAAAATACATCATAACTATTTCTATTGTAAACAAGATTCTTTGATATGCCTATCATGAAATGATGGATCGACCTTTTTATTATGATCAATCATGTTTTATAATGAATCGATCTCTAGAATTTCGAGTTCATTTGAGTTGTAGAAGACGGAATTCAGTCTGAACAACAATCACATTAGACTTTAATCGTACTAAAACATATAAATGTTTTGCAGATTGTATTTTTTAAGAGAAATTTTCTATGATCTTTTTTATTCTGTGTGTTCAGTTACTCTCTAGTAATCGAGTGAGCAAAACGAAATCATTGCTCACTGAAAGTGTTTTCTAAATCAGTGGTCAGTGAATTGTTGTAAAGCGGTGGCGAAATGCCATAGGGCCGGCAGTTTTATCTGTTTCCTGGTGATCCTTGCTTTTCGAATATTTTATGTCTTTATTTGATGTCACGAAAATGAACTAGTGATTCTAACGTATATTCTGACCGAAACATATGGAGCCTGTATATGTCGGTAAACAACCGTATTTTGTCGGTTTTCATAACTTAATATTAACATCGTATATCTTCGTGACCATGATGGAATAATGTGAAACCAACGAAAATCATCTACGAAGACAGAAAGGAAACGTTTTTTTTTTCATAAATCGTCGCATTTCTTTGTATACATCACAGAGATATATAATCATCTTACTCGGCCGCGTAAATCACCGTATCTCTTCGAGCAAGATAATTCACAACCGTGTTTGTTTAACATGAATGCTTGAAAGTTTCCCAAAAAACATTGTCTCTCAAAGTCTTCTGGCCAAGGCAAGACATTGATAGATTGAATTTCTAACTAACGATAACTCTCTTTTCTGAATAATGTCAAGATGTATCGAAAGTTTGAAAAATAATCATCATCAGCACAGTCTCACTAATATTTACTGTCACGTGTAATAGATTTTCATTAGTTATCAAACTTTTCAATTCAGAACAAAAAAACGAACTATTTACAGAAATACGTTTCAATGATCTATCTATCTTTTATTTTAATTACATCTTATATGAACACATTCCATATAAAATCCTGCATCAATCATTTTGTGTAACTTACATTTAATGTTTCAATAACTTCAATAGTACTACTTGAACGTTCATATTCATCTTCACTAGTAGATTTCACATTTTCTTCTCTCTCAGATGTCTGGTAACGTTGTTCATTATTACCTCGTTCTATTTAAAAAAAAAAACTCTTCATCTATCATCATCATCATCACATCGTCCTACCTGCAATTTCTCGTTCAGTTCTTGCTTCCAATAATACTACAAAATAAAATCTCTTTCCAAGGAACAACAAAACAATATTTTAAACATACATAAATGTTCCAGAGCTAAATGATCACTAAAGAAAATCTCAATAAAATTCTATTAAACAACAAAATAAAAAACACAACTTACTAAATATCTGGATGTTTACACATAATACGAAAAGCAACAAAATAAATTAACAGAAATAAATCAATTGTGGCAAATATTATAATATAAAGAAAATTATCTAAAAAGATTTTATTGAAATTAGATGAAAATAATCTTTTATTTCATACAATTTTCTGGAAGATAAAATATAACTGTTGCATTTTTACGTCGTTGAACATCAACAATACCTGTCAGTTGAATAATTATTTGTTCTTGATCATTCAAATACTCTGCATCAGTTGGTTTAACAAGAAAAAACTAAAAGAAATGTATTTCATTTTGGAAATTGACTCGCCTAAATAAAGAAAAATGATTCATGTAAAAAGAAAAATTCATTTTCTTTTAATTTACATAAACATTAAATGAAGCAATAGATGGCATTGTTTGATAATGTCCTTGTTGTACTCCAATTTCACTCACATCATAAACGGGACAATTAAAGGATTGTACATATACAATAGTACATAATTGATCATTTGATTGAACCTCAATAAAAACATTTTCAATATCAGGTGGAAAAGTAAATTTATAACAAATTGATATAGAAGGTAAAACAAAAAATTGTCGACTAACACCCGTTCTAGATTTTAAACATGAAAAAAATTAGTTAAATAAAAGATTTTTTTTTGTTATCCCCTTACTCAAGTAAAAATTGAGTGATATTTTCCAATTGAAATGAATAATTAATCAAATCTATATTCGATGTTGAAATTTCAATAAAAACTCGACTTGTATGCGGACAACGCGTACCATTTATTTCATTTTGTAAACAAAGAATACGTGAAGCGCTTGAATAAATCATTCTAATTAACCCTTTGGTTACGGGTTTTTTTTTAAGATGAATCTTTTTCTTTGTTCTAAAATAGTCTGAAATAACTTAATACTTAATATTAAGTTTAGGTTTTTTCTCTAGTTAGCACTTAATTCACTTAAAATTAAGTCTAAGTGATAGTGTTAGACAAATATCATTTAATTTCAAGTTTTTCTTCAAAACATAATGACTCATCATGGCATTGTTCGTTCCATATGAAAGAACATTGCTACGAATCTGTGTCGTTATAAGTCGCAAAGATATAAGTCGCTTCTTTATTTAGAATATACAGTTTTATATATATGAGAGAACGCATTGAAAAAGAAAAAAAACAATACACCAGAATATACTAGTAAAAGTAGAATGTGAGAAGCAGACGTGTCAGAACGCAAGAGAGAATACATAAATACACACATAGCTATCCGGGGCGATGACGCAATAATGTAACTAAGATAAGGGTAAAAGAAAGGAATTTTTTCGATCGAGTCTAAATAATATTATAATGACGGTAATATCTGCAAAACTTCAAATACCATATA